ATAAAAAGCTTCTTCTATCACAAACTTACAATTTTTCAATTAAAATTGAAGAAGACCCACCGCCGCCATTGCAAATAGATGCAACACCTTTTTGTCCAGCTTTTAAAGCATGTGCTAAATGTACCACAATGCGTGCTCCAGACATACTAAAATTTCAAATATTTACAATTTAAACGTTGTTCATGTTTGTAGAAACAATTGAATACTTACCCAATGGGATGACCAAGAGACACAGCTCCACCATGAACATTTACTTTGCTAGGATCAATTTCGAGTAATTTTTGATTTGCAACTACAACTACACTGAAAGCTTCGTTAATTTCCCATAGAGATATATCGTTCTTATTAACCCCAGCATTTTGTAATAACTGAAAGTTCATATACATCACATAATTGTTATAAGAATTTAATATAATTAAAATTTTACTAAACCCTGTACAAGTGTGCATATTGCAAGAAATTTACTTTAGGAATACCAAAAGATGGTGCTATAGGAAAATCAATGGGATCAGTTGCAGCATCCTGAAATGCGATAATTCGTGCTAAAGGTTTCAGATTCATTTTCTCAGCAACATTTGCAGTTGTCAAGATTAAAGCAGCAGCACCATCGTTTAAAGTAGATGCATTCCCAGCAGTTACTGTACCATTCTCCTTCTGTAACAAGTAAATGTAAATTATCACTTTGTATTTAAATTAAGAGCTTCTAATGAACTTTAAACTGTACCTGAAAAACTGTATTCAGTTTAGTAAATTTAGCAAAATTCACTTTCTTATACTCCTCATCTTCATTAAATATTACATCAGGATTGCCTTTTTTTTTAGGTACAGAAACAGAAACAAGTTCATCTTGAAATACATTATTCTCATATGCTGTAGCACTGCGTTTGTAACTGTTAATAGCATATTCATCTTGCTCATCGCGTGTAATTTGTAACTTTTTTGCAGTATTTTCTGCACAATTTCCCATATGAAATTTATTATAAACATCAGTCAAACCATCAAACACAATACCATCCTATTATAAATAATGTGAGACTTAATAAATTGCAATTAAATTCAAGGAGACATACAAAAGGATTCATTTTTCAAACAATATTAAAAACATTCATTATACCTCAAGTTTCATTCCACCATATTTAGTTTCTCCTCGTGAGAGATAAAATGGTACATTAGACATTGATTCCATACCACCAGCAAGAACAATCTCTTGCTGTCCACATTGTAGCAACTGAGAAGCAAGCATAATACTTTTCATGCCACTAGCACAAACTTTATTAATTGTTGTACATATTGTTGATACAGGGAGACCTAATTTAAAATTATTTCTTTTAGAAATTTTAATAATATTATGTAATATAATAAAAATAAAATAGCTCTATAAAAAAAAAAACCTGCAAATAATGTAGCTTGTCTTGCTGGTGCTTGACCCAAAGAAGCTTGACAAACATTTCCCATATATACTTCTGCAACTTTTTCCTTAGAAATTCCAGCACGTTCAATTGCTGCCTAATGGAATTATTAATTGTTACTTATATTTATAATTATTAATATTAGCTTAATATAGGTACAATTAATACTTACTTGTATAGCTACAGCTCCAAGTTTTGGTGCAGATAAGCTTGATAACCCACCAAGGAATGATCCTATCGGTGTTCTAGTTGCACTAACTATAACCACATCGTTTAATTTTACCTTACAGCTATATGATCTCAAAATGATCAGAGACATCTAAAAAAAAAAAAGAAAAAAAAAGCTAGACACTAATAAATGCATTATATAAAATAAATTATTTAATCAAATTTTTGTATAAAACAAGTATCGTAAAGTTGTATTTATTAAGATTTTATTTTAAAAAATAATAAAAATTATAAGAAGGAATTTAACAAAATTTTTTGAACTAGTTTTCTAAAATAATTTTAAGTTAGAAATTAATTTATTAACTACTTTTTGATAAACAAATTACTACCTAATAACTTACCTTGTTCATGTTCTTTAATACCGGCATTTTAAGATAGGAGATAGGAGATACCAACTTGTTGCAACTACTGTGTTAGAAAAGTAGTAATTAAAAATAAGTTCAGAACAATAAAAATCTATATTTTATCTATATAATATAATCTATACTTTAATCTCTCGTTCCAACTCATCACAATATTAAAGTCGAGGCATCCGGATTCAAATTCACAACTTTTTAGTTTACCAAATATAGCAAATGTAGTTAGACGTATATAATTTTCATGTTCTTTAAGTTGTATAAAGTGGACTTATTTTTTGTAAATTAATAGCCGTTTTATGTTGTTTTATAATTTTATTTGACCAAACACTGAATAAAATACAACCACCTTGAAAAAAGACGGTCCTGAAATATCGCGCACGCGTAGAAATACTTTTTATCTACATTTTCCTCGTCATTATTAGTCTATGAATTCTGTTGTGCTATGTGAATGATGGATATCATATCGAATTAGTATTTATTAATTTATAATAATGAAGCTTGCAACGCAGAATATGATAATCATGTATTCTATATCGTAAATGAAACATATAACTTTATTAACATTTGGTTAATTTAATCTATTCACAAAATTGAGATAGACGTAGACGAATTTCTAAAATGAATATTGAAGAAAATAGACTAAAAACTTTCTCGGATTGGCCAGCAAATGCACCAGTTGATGCTGCTCGAATAGCAAAAGCAGGATTTTACTATAGTGGATGTGCTCTAGAAGTACAGTGTTTTTTATGTGGTGTCAAGATTTCCGATTGGAATTATGGCGATCGAGCAATAGTTCGCCATCAATTAGCTGAACCTGGTTGTCCTTTTGTTCAAAATCCTTCTAGTACTTGCAATGTACCATTGATACCAATATCTACTAATAATTCTGGATTAGCATCATCATCGACGGAAACATTAGAAGAACATAATATAAATGAACGTCAATCTATAAGTTCTTACCAGAGCAAAGAATCTGAAAACAAATATAGGACTACATCACAAAGACTACAAACCTTTACTAATTGGCCAGTTACTTTAATTGTATCACCTAAAAAGCTTGCTAGGGCTGGATTCTATTATCTTCAACATGATGATGAAGTACTGAATTAAAAAGAAATACAAATCTTTTGTAATAATAATAATTATACAATATATCAATGTAATTTTGTTTATGTACTTATAGGTGAAATGTGCATATTGTGGGGGTATTCTAATGAACTGGAAATCTGATGATAATCCAGATAAAGCACATAGAGAAAATTTTCCTCATTGTGATTTCTATGTTCGTCAGGATGAGGATGGTATTTATTTACATATAAAAAGGACTTCTTGTTTTCTGTAAACAGATTATTTCATTTTAGTTTTCTTCTCTTCAGATAATTTATGTTTAACCAATGTAAAATTAATGCCTGGTACAATATCAAGCATCTCAGAATTAGGAATACAGACACATAAAACTCCTAAAAATCCAGATTATGCAGCATATAGAGGAAGATTACGTACTTTTAGTGGTTGGCCAGAAAACCTTAAACAAACTCCAGAGATGTTAGCTAGTGCAGGGTTCTACTATAATGGTAAACATTTTACTGAATAAAGATGTGATAATTATAAATAGCATTAAGCAATGGTACCAAAACATCAAAATTATAATAGGTTATGGTGATCATGTTAGATGTTTTCATTGTGATGGTGGTTTACGAAATTGGGAAGCAACAGATGATGCATGGACTGAACATGCAAGATGGTTTCCCAAATGTGAATTTGTGAATCTTGTAAGAGGACAAGAATTTATCAAACAGTGTGTTAACAGTAGACCACCTTTAGATGAATCAGTAAGTATTATATGGTTAAACTTATATCACATGTTTTGGAAATTTTAAATTACATTTCATGTTTATACAGATTTTTGAAATGCCACCTGTTTCCCCAACTTCAGCTTCATCACCTGCATTAGAAATTACAGAAACAACCTTGGGAAGCTTATTAGAGAGTCTACCAGCAATAGTAATGTTTTGTACATTTATTTGTTTATTTCTAATAAAAAAAGCGTTAAAAAAACGAATGTTGCAAGTAGGAATTCCATATGCAAATTCTTTTGACCTCATAAAAGACATTCTTCATGATCAAGAATTGACTAGGTTTGTTATAAATAAAATTATAAATTAAAATGAGAATTGATATAACAGGTACTAACAGAGTGTATCTTTTGTTTTATAGACAGAATCAAACAAATGAATCACCTTCTTCAGAATTAACTACCTCATTAAATGAAGCGGTTAAGGATCAAACAGACAGAAGTAATAGTAGTAGCAATAGTATGGAACAATGTAATGATATTGAAGCAAATGAAAATGAAACATATTCAAATGAAAAGGAAATCTCTACAACATTCAATAAGAAAAGCAGTACTGTTGATAAAAAGGCAAATGTTAATGTTAAAGAAACTGGTAAATGAATGGTATAATTAGTATATTGACAGTAAAATAAAATCTAATAGTAATATAATAGCAACATAAAATATATATTAATAGGATCAATTTTAATGAAAACTACTCTTTATTATACTTTTTCAGCATCTTTGGAAGAAGAAAATAGAAGATTAAAGGAAGCTCGTTTATGTAAAATTTGCATGGATCGAGAAGTAGCTATTGTATTTTTACCTTGTGGACACTTAGCAACTTGTATTTATTGTGCTCCATCTCTTACATATTGCCCAATGTGTCGGCAAGAAATTCTAGCGACCATTCGTACCTTTCTATCATAAATCAAACTACAGGGTATTAATTAGTAAATATATTGCTAACTTTATTTATAGAAGTTTAATAATTTAAAACATAGAAATGTGTAATATGTGCAAAAATATATTTTCTGTATATTTTTTTAAAGTAACAAGTATTATTGCCTATATATAATTTTATCTTGTTAAACTGAAAGAACATATCAAGCAAAAGGTAAACAAATAATTTATATACTAATAGCATAGTTTCTACCAAATAATAGATTGTGTTACTAATGATTATAGTAGTTAATGAATATGTAATATTATATGTCTATCTGAACCAATAAAATTTTGTATCTCCATGTTCAAAAAATACCGATCTTAATTGCTGCATGAATTTAACGTTATCACATAAATTGATAACTTTGTGCATAGAAAATTGTCGTTTACATAGTCGCAATCTTATATTAATAATATTAAACATAATCTTTTAATTTCGGTTTTAAATATAATGCAGTATATAAATACATTATCAACTGATGGAACAAATATAATTTATATTTGATCAAAACTGATAATTAACTCGCAATTTACCAAGAATCATTGACCCAAGGAAATTTGTATAATTAGTAATATTTCTAAATAATCTTTGTTAGTACATTTTCTATATAATTCAAAATTAAGATAAGCTATCTCAAAAAAATACACTTGATCTGATATCTAAGGCTATCAATAATACTGTCTGTAGCTCATGTGTGCTCAGTTCAGAAAGCTGATATTAACTGTAGATTTCTAGAAGGTAAGTGTAAATTAATTATACCTTATAATAGCTTGTAATAATTTTGTACTAAACAATATATTTTTAAAAATATTCAATATTAATTCTTGATACAGTAAAATTATTATATACAATAATTAGTTTATGCCAATGTATTTTATTGTCTTTTTCATCATTTAACATATTCCTTTTATGTACAACAATGACTTTTTTGACTGACTCATTGTTGGTTTGACAAGTAATAACCAAGATTATTCTAAGAATTGATTGCATTTATTCAAATGTACTAGATAAATAAAATCCAATCGCAAAATAGATCACGAATGTTACAATTTTTTATTAGAAAAACATTCTGTTTGAAAGAAATCAATTATGTACCAAATTTTCTGCATACGAAAATTAGGTATATTATACATATATTGTTTAGATCGAAATATTTAAAGCTGTCATTTTTATTCCTTTTTTTATGTATTCTATTTTTATTCTAAAGGAAGTTCGTTTTAATGCAAAAGCATTCTACATATATGTATATGTACGTAAATACGTATATATGAATAAAAATCATGAAAATGTTCAAATGCAAGTGAAGTAACTCGAAACATAAATATATAAAATAAAAGATATTGATTTGTCAATTTGTTATTTTTAATAAAGATTTCTAAGAAATTTGCGCATTAAATTGCACGTGTAACTAAAAACATAGAAAGAGAACGCAGTAGATTGGTTGCGGGCTTTACAGTCTTAATGATATTACGCTATGGTTGGGTCGAGTAGAGTGGGGACTATTCCGGCTACTTTGGAACGCCATTGCTGTCTTCCAAGGGACAGAATACCGAACTCGTAACCAGTTCAGGCGTTTCTCGTTTGTGATCTTTTCAGGTATTGCTCAATATATCTTTTTCATAAGAATGTAACTTCAATCCTATAAATTGTGCGTGTTATAAACTTATTCTTCGACTCAGTAATTGAATTGTTAGTGAAAGGAAAACAGGCTGGTTCATTTTTTTAAATTATTCGAGTAGTGTTTGATTAAACAAAACAGATAAGATTGTATTTAAAAGAAATATATATATAATAACAAAATACTTGATATAGAAAGGTTATTATAAGTGCGCGTGAATTTATCAACTAACGCAAGAGATAATCGTCAGATAGTAAAGCGAGAACAAAGTGCGTGTGTGTCACGGACTTCACAGTTATCCTGAAATCGGTATGTCCGTAATACGTTCTTGTTTCACTATACTAAAGGCAAAACGTATTGGCTGGTCAAGGGCATTTCTGTCGGTACTTTTAAAAGTTTACAAACCACTTCTGAAATCTCGGGCGTATCTATCACTATAACATAATCTTTGTCCTTTTTCTTGTGGCAATACCCTCTTCCCGTATTTTCTTTTACAATAGCATAGGCATGTAAAACGGTGCGATGAGAAATAATTTATGTGTGTCCATATGCAAGTGCCGTCGTTGTTCAAGGCACGTAACTTAGGGCAGAGCATTGAAAGATCGTAGGCGATAACTACAAGTCTTGGAATGGCATAGCGGGTATATCCCTCAAAGTCTGACCAAATAATACATTTAGCCTCCAGTATAACCACGCGAACGCAGTATTTCATTTTAAGAAAAATTTAGCTAGAAACGTTATTAGCTTGCAACTAAAATAAAACCTTTAAATGATCTTATGAATCAGAAATATTGAAATTGTACCCTTTAATTAGCTATTTTAAATAAAAATAACACTTGAATAATACAGAAATAGAATAATTTATACAATGGGCGTATTTCTTAAAGACATACTGTTTCATTACTACCTCAAAGATGTGACAAGTTATGTTTGCTTCTTGAATCGCATCTTCCTCGCATTCCAACTTGCGTTGTTCCCCTTCCCTACTCTTGCTTACGCTGTTGCCAGACGTCACAAATGAAACAGATGTGAAAGTTCAAAGCCTAACTTAAGATTCCATTCTGCGACTAAATCAACGAAAATACAATTTTTTCCCCCTTTTCTTTCACTTTCTTTTGAAAAATATTTCCTTCATTTTGGAAATAACATTTAGAAATAAATAAATAAGGTTACATTTTTAATTTATCGTCATATCACAAAAATCATATTTAATTAAATAAAAAAGTTACATGTTACAAAGCACAAATTTCGAAAAAAATCTTATCGGAATAAAACAATATTCTGTTGAGAAAAATGTATTAAAGTTAAGTAAGTTGGTGAGGTTTGATTCTCTGAATCTTATGTGATGTTTCAATACTTTTAGAATTTTTACTATATTTGTAACTATAACCGCATTTAATACAAGTAGACTATTAGACAAGTATGCGATCCGAAAAGGGGAAGAAAAGGAGCCACTGTAGATTTCCAATACAGAGTTGTAATAAACCGGTTTAGCGTCCTGTATAAATTGAGCTTTTGCAGTTTTATCAAAATATTCTTACCAGACTAAAACCTTTCGCATATGCTTGTAGATTCATGGACTTTAATGGCTTTTACTTTATAAATTAATCAGTGTATATTGTTACGATGTACAGTTACATATACCGTATATTTACTATAACATTTAAAATTTTATTTGAAAATTATAAATTGGAACAAGAAATTGCTTAGATACATGCAACTTTGTAATAAGTTTATAAAATCATTGAGGTAAAATTATTTAAGAAAAGTATAAGTTGCTACGCCCTTGTTCATGCATTTCATTCCCATGAGTATACAGCGGTGTAATGCAACAAGAGAAGTTCAAATACGGGCCATACAAGCGGCAACGTTGCACAGGGCGGTGAACAGTATGAGTGTGTATTACAGCTGCAACTTTACGTGTGTTGGACTCTAAGCATCAAGAGAGAAATCAAGTTTGTTCTCGGAAGTCTCGTTTGTGTGCGATACGTAGGCTGCGTCATTTCAACGTTATGTACTGTGAAAAGTCCATGAGACTTCGTCATTCACGAATCATAACGGCATTGCAATCACCTAGCGAGTTTAATCTTTAGAGTCTCTCTCCCTCCATCCTCTGTCTCTCCTTCTTCCTTCCCCTCCCATCTTCCTTCTTTTTTATCGGATACGTGTCGTATACAACATACACAATGTTCCATAAATGTGCAACGCTATGTTACTCCGCGTAGCATTTTTTTATACATACATGTTCCATATGTTCTATAGTTGTAACATATTAAATTGACATTAAATTTTATTAATTTTTAATAAAGTGGTGTTACACAACTGTAAGAGTTACTTAACTTGCAAAGGAAATACTGATTATAAACGAACAGTGCTTTGATGAAAGTAATATAATTAAAGTCATGAAGTACCTCATTTAATAATTTTTGCATTTTTTTGTAACAGATTTAAAGATTGAAAAATAACTCAAATAAGATGACTGATATTATCAAGCACAGAGAGTTAACAAGTGATTCAAATTTTAAAACTTCGACAAATTCACCGTTAATATCACGAATTTCTGTAACATCTCATGTATCAAGGGATGAAGTGGATAATGTTGATTATCACTTTGAAGCAACTAGACTCCAAAGTTTTCAAAACTGGCCTATATCATATGTGGAACCTGCGAAACTTGCAGCTGCAGGATTTTACTACACAGGTGAAGGTGATAAAGTAAGATGTTTTGAATGTCAAATAGAGATATGTCAGTGGGAAGAAGGTGATGTTCCAATGATTGACCATCAACGTTGGTCGGCAAGGTGTAGATTTATTCGAATGATGAACTGTGGTAATGTACCAATTGGAGTAGATCCTAATACAGTTTTACCACCAAGACCAAGAGGGGTAGATGTATGTAGTCCATATGGCATAGAGTACCGATCTACATCTGGTCCTGATAACCAGAATTTTTCAACAGAATTACAATTACCAAGCACTGCTAAACTTAGTTGTTTAGGCCTGGGAAGGCCTAAAGGGCCAGTACATCCTGAATATGCTAGCTATGATGCTAGACTGCATACATTTGAAACATGGCCAAAGTCTATGCCACATACAAAAGAACAGTTGGCAGATGCAGGTTTCTATTATACTGGAAAAGGTGATCAAACTTTGTGTTATCATTGTGGAGGTGGTTTGAAAGATTGGGAACCAGAAGATGATCCTTGGGAGCAACATGCAAAATGGTTTTCTAAGTGTTATTATCTACTAATGGTTCAAGGTCTAGATTATGTAAATAAAATAACAGGCCAGCATATATCCCCACCTTCTAAAGAAGTAAGTATATGAGCTTAATATTCTGTGTTATATGCACAATTATACTAGAGGTCAAATTTCAAAAGATGTTGTCAGCTACTATCTTTTAACACTTCACCTTAAGCTACTAGATTTGGTCTCTAGTACAATAGTTAAGTAACATACTTATCTACTTTATTCTTATTTCAGGAAACAATGCAGATGAATTTACCCAGTTTTATTAAGAAGGTACAACCTACAAGTATAGAAGCAGATAAAATGGAAGAAGCAAGAAGCAAACCTGGATCAAGTTCTCAAGATAGTGGGATAGAGAGTATTGGAAATAATACAGAATCTGTAAATGGAAGTGCAGAAGATTTATCAAATACAAAGGCACAGAGTAATAAACCTACAGATGATGCAAGGATGTGTAAAATTTGTTACAATGGAGAATTAGGAGTGGTATTTTTACCATGTGGACATATAGTTGCTTGCGTTAAATGTGCTCCTGGCATGACATCTTGTGCAGTATGCAGAGAACCTGTTACGATGACCGTACGAGCTTTCTTATCATAGTATTCCATAGCTTGTGATATTTAGTTTTCCGTATGTTTTCTGTTATGGTGTTCTGCACACGATCATCCATGACTGGTAGCGATAATGTATCGCGAACTGCACTAAATGACATGACTCATGTAGCATACCAGTCTGCGGGTACAAGCTATAAAAATTCTGTTGTAGGTTTTAAAAATTTTGTGTGATATTCATATTACAAGTACATGAAGAAAGAAAATAAGGTTTATGCTAATACAAGTCATAGTAATCAGTATATCAGAAATAAAGAATTTTCTTGGTATTCTAAAATTTGTCCATGAATGTTAAGTATCAAAATAAACAATATAAATACATTAAGTATTTTTTATAAATTACATAACATATCACGAGTAGAGGAGTCATGAGATAGTTGCTCATACTGGTCTTCAATAATAAATTTTTCAGATGAATTTTGTCTGAAACTTAATGTAAGCTGTACCTGCAACTGAATGTTGCTATTTGCACATTCATAAGTTACGTTGTCCCTATTATTGTATCATTCCAAACGACAACAAAATACGTGTGCTTGACACAGTACAAATAGCAACAAAACATGATGTCTAGTCATTAATATTACATAATGACAAACAGAGTAAAAATTAACAACTATAACTTATAAAAATTTAATGAAACAATTCATTTTATTTTATTATAGTGCTAATAAAATTAATGTCTACTCCGGTACCCTAGTTTAGTTATGTCTGATATTATTAATCTGTAATATACATTAATGTATCTTGTTATAAAATAATATTAAATGTCTATGAAATATATCTTTTAAGATATGTGTGCAGAGGTAATTGAATACATCTATCTTATAACAACATTGAAATGTATGATTCGACTTAACTAATCTAGGGTATAATAACTACATGTTTCACTTAATAAAAATCTTTAGCACTCTTATGCTCAAAAAACTTGTTTATATTACAAAACATGATGTGTACATTGTGTATACATTAAGATCAAAAGTAAAGAAAAATTGTTTGTTCTAATACATGCAGAGAAAAAATAAAAATAATAGGTACTCACATTCAATGAATAAATAATGCTGGAATTTTTCTAAGCACTTGCTTTTGGCTATGATTAGCATTATTGTACATTATCTTAATGAAAAAATGGAATACGATAATTGAGCTCTTTCGTTTAATTTTATTTATGCAATTCAGTACGTCTTAAATTATATAAATATTAAACAATAATTTTATCAGATTTCAATTTGAACATTTAATTCTGCTTTTAAATGATTTCAATAAAAAATTCTGGTGGTTAATTAAGATTTCTAATCTTTTATTGAGTATTAAAATTATCGGCACATTATTTCACATTATTGGCGAATCTGCATATGCATATATAAGAAAATTCTTTCTCAATGTGTATCATGACTGAAAAATATATAACGTGTATAGTACATAACTTCAAAAAGTATTTGATGTAGGGCTAAAGGGTTTAGAAGTTAGTAAAGTAGGGTGTATAACACATTGTGATTTTGCCTTTTTGCCAGTTAATATGTTTATAAATGATTGAAATATTACGTTAACTTGTCTGTTGAGACATAAGTTTATCAGAAATAGTATAGAATTTTAATGGAGAATATAGGATCACAAATATATTACCAATTTATGCAATGAATCTACATGCAATTATAGTATTTACTTCCACTTAAATTTCCAGTTTATTTGTCAAATGAAAGAAATAATTTAATTGAATGTTAACAAATACTAAAAATTAGCTTTTGTAAAAAATTATTTCTTTATTTAAAAATACAATTATTAATAAAATTCGTTTATTTCATGAAAATCATTAATCATGTAAAATTACTAAACTTCACGTAATTTTGCATTGCGTCTAAAATAATTTACACATTTTCATTATTAGTTATTTATTGCAATTTCTTGTACATTTTTAGTGCATTCTCAATATATAGAATGTCTCGTTGTATGTAGGAAATACAGCACGAGTGTATTCAGTACACTAAAATAACAAAGAAAATGTATATAAACATATGCTCGATACGACCTTATTTTTGAATTACAGCTTGTTTTGTGTTGTAACAATTTTTTTCATAAATAGACAGATACAATATCATTGGATATTGATCTACTGTTTTTATAAGCACGAAGAAGATAATATCGGGTATACGCTTATATGAACTTTTTTTTCTTATTTTAACATGCTGAATCTACCCCTGCTGTACTTGTTACATATAACGAGACACCCTGTATATAGGTTTTGCCTAATTTTTTCGTTGCCTCTTTAATTCGCTGTTGTACATACATTTATGTATCCTATAAAAATTCAATACACTATATAATCTTTTGTAATGATGAGATATAATAAAAAAGTGCATTATCTTTATTATTACCTTGAAATGAATGTTAATAACGTTGTTCTTCTTCAATCAAACCTTTTGTGATAAATCATTAATCTTTAATAATACTTTTAATATAAATATTCTTTCAAACAATTAATTTCATAAAAAGTAATATTTGCCATTCAAAATGTATAGAAATGATTACAATAGAAATTTAAATTGGTAATTCTAATTTTATGTTTACATAACAAAACTCAAATCGTTAAATTAGACAATTTCCAAAATTGACTTTTATGGTCAAGTAACTATTTAAAGTTTCTGACGTTATGCTGTTACTTTAAATGTACATATTGTATTTTTATGTGCTTATATTTATTTAATATCTTCGTAATACAACATTTCCAATATTCAAAACAAAACTGTTACTGTATGATACATTATGTACATAATAATTATTCTTAAATTTCTAGTATATTATATACTAAGTTTACAGATACTTTTGTTGGATTATACATAAATACAACGAATTAAATATTTTGTGTACAATTTTAGCAAGAGAGATGTCGCTGATTTCAAATACTAGAATGGCGACTGATAGTTCAATACGATAGTATGACACGATAGAATGTAATGGATATTAATATCTTAAATCGGCAAAAGTTTTAACTTAATATTTTTGTTTTCTGTAATTTATTAAAATGAATAAGTATCAGTAATGGGAGACTTGTTTGATATTGCAAATCTAATTACAACTGTCGGTGTTGATAGAATAAAAATTAAGCCGGAACCTGGATTACCAGAAAAATCATCAAATGAGATATTAACAGAATTGTTTAGCACATTTGATGCTGAAGAGGAAATAGCATCATCGGAGAATACTGATCAACAAGTTCCGAATGCCAATATTAAAGTTGAAAAGTCTAATAAATCTCAGGTTAAGAAAAAAAAGGCTAAAAAGAAACATAAACATAAGGACAAAAAGCATAAAAAAAAGTCAAAACGAAATTCTTCTGAAAGTAATAGTGATCTTGAAAGTAATAGCAAAATATTGTTAATAACTAAAACTGTAGGTAAGTGTGTATATTATCTATAATTAAACATAATCTGTTTTTGTAAAAGTAGATATTAAAAAGAAGAAAAAACATAAAAAGAAAGCAAAGCGAAAACATGAAAATGAGTCAAGTCGGTCATCAGATTCAGATGAGCCCAAAAATAAAATGGTGAAACTTGATGGAATATGTAGCAGTGTAAAAAAGAAAAGTTATAATAAAAATAATGGACCTGAGAAAAAAAATATGGACACGGTAGAAAATTTTGACAAGTTACTGATAAGTAAAAAAAATGCAGAATTAGAAAATACCTTTGCAGAAGAACCAGATAGCCCTCAATTGCCACCTATTTCAAAGAAAAATCAAGATGAACTTGAAGAACAATTAATACTTAAAATTCTTGGTTTGTAGTAATTATGTTAATAATAATTTTGAGAAATATTTTTGCCTTAAATAACTTTTTCTTCTTTAAGTTTTATTGTATATGAAAATTTATCATTAAATTCATCAACATCTATAGTGTTACTCTACTATCTTTATTTCATATATAGAAAAACCAAAGCAAGCACTTCAAGGCAAAATATTAATAAAAGATCTTAAGAACAGTACAGTTTATAATGATACAGTAAAAGAAATTGAAAACAAGGAAAAGGAAAAGGCAGCTCGAATGGAAGATGGTGAATTATCTGATAGTAGTACAGATAATAGAACACCTACATTAAGTCCTAGTCCAATACATTGCACTTCCTTCAGATCACCAACCTTAAGTCCAACTTTGGAAAAGGTAGAAAATAGAATACTGAGTCCTTCAAAAGGAGAAATAACAGCAAGGAATGACTTAAGATTAATTTTGAGAGAAAGAGAGAAGAAGAGATTAGGAGATGTGGACAAAAGGATGGATGGCTTAGAAAAATCAAAATTGTATATGGATAATGTATATAAAGAAAAAGCATATAATTATAACAGTAAAATTGCAACAAGCAAAGATACTAAACACAGTAACAATTGCCATTCACAAGAAAGGAAAAGATCTGAATCTCGTACACGTACTAATTTACGTAGAAGTAGAAGCAGAGGAGGAGATAAACGAAGAGACAAAAGTAAAGACAGATACAATAAAAGTCGAAGCAGCGATAGACGAGAATCTTTAAAATGTAAAGAACGACGGAGACACAGAAGTCGTAGTGATGATAGAAACAGAGATAAGTATATTCGAGGACGAAGTAGAAGTAGAGAACGGAAGTTAGTATTAATTCTTTATTAGTATGTTTAAAAATATTTCAACATATTGACATATAATTACATATTGAATTGATTAATAAATATTGAATTTGTATACTTTATAAGGGAACGGATAGAAATTGATAAAAAAAAATTATTGGAAATAGCAAGAAGGAATGCAATAAATATGATTAAGCAAGGAACATTACCATTAGTGCAACAGGATAAAGCTATTGCTGCAATTCAAGCTGGTGGGAAAACAGTTGATGAACTCACAGGTATATACTATGGTTTCCAATATAAAAATATGGTTTTTCAATAATGTGAAAAATATACTTTCTTATCTCAGACTTTTGCAAATCATTATCAAAATCTGAAGCATTAGGAGAACTTTCTAGTATTTCTTCAGAAGAAGATGGAAGTGAATCTGAAAAAGGATTCCATCATCCTTTTCTTCTTAAAGGACGTCCTAGTTCTATTATAATGAATATTAGGGTACGTTTAATAAAATTAATATGATATAAATATTAATAGTTCATTTATATGAAATTGTTGTAACATTTTAGGATGCAAAACAGTTACCCACTAAAACATTCCAAGAAAAAACTGTAGAATCATCAAATCAATTACGTTTACAGTTTCCTGTATCAAGTGGTCAACATCATAGAAAAAGCGGTAAAATTTTCATTACTATAGTCGATGTGTTTATTGACTCATTGACTTAATTATTCATAAATTTTCCTTAATTTAGAAAGTGAATGGATACCAGTTACCCCAAAGAAACCGGAACCAAAAAAGCAATTTATACCTCCTTCCAGTTCAGTTGAACCTCTTGCTGTAATACCTACAACTACTTCTATATATCCGACACAATCCACAGTTTTCTCTCATCCAATAGCAACAGAGGTATATAGAGGAAATGACTCTTTTCAATTGATCTAAAGATGTACTTGCATTTACATTACTGTTTTATTTACAGCCAATAGATATTGGTTCAATAGTATCTCAAAGATTAGCAGCAATGAGAAAATTAAGGGAAAATCCAAATGATATATGTGCTCAAAATGAAATGTACAGAGCACAGAATGAGGTATTATTATGTACAATTACAAATGTACTGTATTAATACTGGTATTTATTTGTAGTTAACATATTGTATATTTAATGACAGATGAAAACTTGGGCTGAAAGTAAACAAATGCCAGGTCAGTTTACTGGCAGTACAGGAGCTAAAGTACTCTCACCTGCAGAACTTACTTCAGGTTATCAAGCCTGGGCTCGTAAGGTAACAGTATTATTTGCAAGATAATTATATCTTACTGTTTGTCGTTCTATATTTATTTAATTATTGAAATTTGTTTTAA